TCTCCTCTGGCCAGATGAAACCAGCAGTTCAATTCCAGGCTGCAGCAATGTCACATTGTGCAGAGGACTCATCTGGTTCCTGTGGTCTTGTCCCGGTGGCCGTCTAGGAGACAAGGTCTTAACTGGGAATCTCTCTCTGGGGCTCATCTAGTTGTCCTGATCTCCGCTGACATTTAGGGCTGTAGAAGTCCATACTGATTTTCTCAGTATTTAGATTTTTTTGGACCCTCAGATTCCAGATTTTCAAATAGTTGTATCTCAGGCAAATATTGTCCTATCATAACAAACCATACATCAATGGAAAGCTTATTTATTCAGCTTTCAGATGGTGTATACATCTCAATTTCGAAAAATTGACCCTTATTACTGGTTTTGTGGTCCAGGGTCACATTTGTCTTTGTGTTCTTCTTTGTTCTCTAGTCGGGAGACCTACAATGCTCTGACTAACTGGCTGACGGACGCACGGACACTGGCCAGCCCCAACATCGTCATCATCCTGTGTGGGAATAAGAAGGATCTGGATGCGGACCGTGAGGTCACCTTCCTAGAGGCGTCTCGTTTTGCCCAGGAGAACGGTTAGAGCTGCTCTTTAGGCATAACACATTTGTAGCTATAGTCCAAAATGACTCTTTTCTTTGCTTGTTTTTGCCTAACAGTGTGACACATCATCAGTTTCTCTTGCTTCTGGCACCTGTTTGTCATATATCTAGAGAGATCTGCTTGTATTCATAATTCATAATTGGCCAAACAGATGTGTGCCGCTGCAGAGAGTGCACTTCTCTTCCTCTCTGTTGTTAGAACAGCAGGATTTTTATGAGCGGCTCATTTACGAGTTCTTCTGTATTGGTCACAGGAGTGCTGTAGACACGGCTAAAGACCATACGTTGGTTTTTGCGGATGATGCTATTCACACTAAAGCACCCTGTTGTTACTGACGCTTAGCATGCCTGATAACAGGTGTCCATATGGACCTTTTCAACACGAAAGCATTTGCAGGGTGAGCAGATGATTGATTTTAATGTGTTAGCCTGACTCTGTCCTCCCTCAGAGCTGATGTTTTTGGAGACGAGTGCTTTAACCGGGGAGAACGTAGAGGAAGCCTTTCTCAAATGTGCTCGTACCATCCTCAATAAGATTGAGACGGGTAAGTGAACACTGCACTGCCGAGACATTTTGGTATTAGTTTACTATTTCTTGAAACATCGGGCTTTTATGGCTCATAAAGTATGATATGGGAGAATTTAGAGCCCATATTTGAAAAGGAAAAAGACAACTAATTTTTATTCAGAGGCCCAAACGGTCACACTATATTTTAAGGTCCATTTCTCGCTATTAACAAACCATTAACTATGACTTTTGCCTCAATAAATTCCTAATTCGCTGCTTATTAATAGTTAGTAAGGTACAGTAGTTGTTAAGTTTATGTATTGGGTAGGATTAGGGATGTAGAATATGGTCATGCAGAATATGTGCTTTATAAGTACTAAAAAACAACCAATATGTTATTAATTGGCATGCTAATAAGCAACTAGGTAATAGTTAGAATTGGTCCCTATACTAAAGTTTTACTGTCCAAACTGAGAAAAAATATACAATTTGGTGCAGATGGTGATATTTTTATAGCCAAAAAGTAAGATGGAATTGTAATAGTTTGTAAATCACTGAGATCTTTATAACTGACAACCAGAAACAAATGAAATTTTGACAGGAACAGAAACGGAAACTAAATCATATTTTATAGTTCCGAACAGAATCGAAAATTTGAAATGGCCATTAACTGGTTAACAACGATATTTTATCGTTCCATTTAATATTTGAAATTTGCTGTCAGCCAATCACTAATTCAAGTAGTACAGCCTATGCAAATGTGACGCTGATGCATCCAACCAGTGAGTGAAATGCCCGCGCTCAGCTGTGAACTCATCATAGGTCGCAATGGCAATGCGTTAGTTAGTTTATTAACTAACGGCGTTAGTTTATTTGAGGATAGTGTAAGATGGATTCAACGGCGAAAACAGAAAAAAACTATAGGCTTACATAAAAGGAATATCCTACATTGGCCTATACACAAAATCTATTTCACTTAAATCATTGACAGATTAGCAAAACAAAAGAAAAAAATGTGCTGAGTTTTGGTTTATTGTGACGCGATCCAAAGTTCACGGAAAGGAAACCGAGACGGCAGAAAGTAGCTAGTGTTCATTATTTTGGAAAAGCTTGACAGTTTTGAATGATGTCTTGCTTCTGTCTGTATGAACAACCAGCGTTGGTATGGCCATATCGCGCCGGCGCCTCACGCACATACAGACACAACATATTTTGTGACATTGCAGCCTGTTCATTATCAAAATAAAATACAGTTAAAGAAACATATAAAAAGTTACACTGCTCCGTTGTACAATCTGTTGCGTTGTTTACTAATAGCCGATGCGAAGGATGATGTTTGCGTCAATGCGAGTGAAGTACAAAGCCTATAATTAATAATATTTTAGTATCCAGATAAGTCGTGAATATGGAAACATTTGGATTCATGCCGAATGAGAGAGGTAGGCATTAGTTTCACCTTAAATTAATTTGTTTTTGGATTGATGTTTTTAAACACATAACCTAACTTTTTGTGATTTGTTGTGGAGAGAAGGAAACTAATAACTGTGTTTATCATAGATATGTGTATGCTGTTTATAATGTTTGTAAACATTTTTCTTTACTCGCATTTTAGCCTAGGCTACATTATTTCTGAATGTAATTAAAAAAAAAATGCGATATGAGCTTACTCGACTTATGTTTTTTTTTCGACTTACGAGACACTTGGCGCTCTTTTTTTTGTTGTCCTTTTGCTCTATCAAATCTTTTAGTAATCATATATATATATATATATCATTTAAAAGCTTAGAAGCCCAAGATTCATCCTGTGAAAACCATTTTGAAATCGGACATTACGTTACCATGGAAATGGTACTTTAAAATATTTGGCGGTCTCCTCCCCCTTAGTGGGCGGTGTCAAGTGTCATATTACAAAAGGCATTACGGTCTTTTAGAATCAAACCTTTTTATAATCTTGACAAAAACATATCATTGGAAAGGTCTGAGTCTCAGGATTCCATATTTGGTGGTTATTTTGAGATAGAGGTAATATTTGCAGAGAAATCTAGACATGCATAAAAATGCATTAAAAAATTCAGTGGTGTTTGGATGGCACCTGGTGGCTGTTTGTGGTATAATGCCCTAAATAAAATCTCACAGGAACCTCAATTTTTTTCATATCAACTTCAAATTTGGAACATAACTTATTTAGACATAAGGCTTTAATTTTATACCAAT